ATCATAACAGCTCAACATTGTATACATTACTATCATTACCAATTTTTATTTAACTATACCTATTACCACTGGATTTAGCTAAGTTTAGCTAATTTTGAATCATATCTTCCAGGACTACCTGTACTTTGAATTGTTTCTAAATCTGTTTTTTACATATTGATTATGAGTCTGTATAACAGCTTGTTGTTTCCCACTATTACATGTAGGAACAGTGATATATTTGCTTCCAACAGTGATATATTTGTCTCAAAATTAACCATTTCCATAGCAACTCCGCAATCTCTAGTGTGAAAATATTTTATTACTGCCAAAATCTTAACTAGAGAGTCAGATTAATGTACTGATTAAAAGCAGTGGTCTAGAAATAAGAAGATCGTAATTTCTAGTCTTGCTTTAGGCACGAAAGCCATCTGGGTGACATAGGGCAAGTCACTTCTTATCAGCCCTAGGAAGATAACAAACTACTTCTGAAAAAAAAATTGTCAAGAAAACTGCCTGGACTTGTCGCTTCAGTTGCCAGGAGGGAAGACTGCCTTGAAGGCACAAAATAATAACGATAAAAATCTAAACAGATTACAAGCCTATTTAGATTTCATTGAGGTACTTACAAATAATGAATGCATCTATTTCAGCTTTCACACTGATAAAATCATAAAATTGCCATGAACTTGTCTAACTGTATGACATTACTCATCCGTCATATACTCCCATAAGAAAGGAATATGCTACTTCAGTAACCTACTGCTCTTAAAACAAGCCTCTTAAAAACAAGAGGATTTGAACTGCTGAATGTAGTTGTAAATGATTAATACTACTTGCTTTCTTCTTGTTTGTTTTCCTTGCTATTTTAATTTTCTATGGAGGTTCTCCATCATCCAGGGCGTGGTTGTCCCAAAGGTGCTTTTTCCAAAAGGCAATTGGACAAAGAAGTATGCTGATCACAAAGAACTTTCTATATTGACCTCCAGTGAACGCTATCAGAGGCACTATTTATTTATGTATTAATTAGACTTATATACCGCTTCATAGGGCTTTCAGCCCTCTCTAAGGGGTTTACAATTTTTTTAGCAAATTGAGTCAACAACTTGCTCCCACANGTTCTCATTTCCTGAGGTAGCTGGGTTAGTTTTGATGTTGGTGTAGGAGTCTTCTGGATTTCAGAATTTCATAAATCTGGATTGTATGAAATAGCTCAGAGGCAACTATAGATATGCTCCATTCAGTACCTAGCAATCAACATCCTGTTGCATCACCTTCTTTAATAAGCTGTTTCCTCAGCCATGTTTTCATCCTACCTTCTACTGTTACATTGGTTCCGCTTTATTTATTTATTTTTAAAACAATTCTCAAAGGAAATATACCAGACAGGCAGACGTACAGTTGAGAAGAATTATTTTCCTTTCACCTCCCACAAATGAAGTTGCCCCTTGTCTTCTTCATTCACTCCTGAAGTCTCAAACCACAAGATGAAAGTCATTCATGAATTTCAGGATGCTGATCTCATTAGGCAACTCCTGCTGGGAACCCCTAATTCAGTAGCCTGCCTTTTTAAGTAGGGGGGGGGGCTTTTTGTCAATAAGAGTCTTTGTTTTACATATGATATGGGACCCTCTTCCTCTATAGGTGCTGCTTTTCAAGGATCACCTATAAATAGGCCCTCTGTGTACCTGGCAGCTGTATAAAGGGGAACGTAGCTGATATAATGGCCTAAAATGGGGATATTTTTCTGAAAGACCAGTCAAGAGCCTGTGAGACAGATGGATTTTTTGCACAGCTAGCTATAGATGCCTTCAATTCCAAGCAAGAGTTGCAATAACAACTATGCAGTTTCACTTTTTTAAAATAGCAATTTTATTAAACATTACTACTACAACAATAAATAAACTAATGCAAACTAAACTTTGTCCCTTCACACAAAATTCTTCAGTTTTAACAAGCCTCAAATTCATCAATGCTTTCATTGTAATCTCTAGTCCCTTCTAGTTCCCTGTGGTGTTCAACTTTCAAAGTCCCACCCTATCATGTTTTTTTTTGTTAGAATACAAAACAAAAATATTTTCCCAGAAGCATACTATAATTTCAAAATCCTATTTCAAATTTATCTAGGAATCTTTGTATGATTCTACAACCATCATGTTTGACGATTGCCAAGCACCCAAATCATGATCACGTGATAGCAGGGAGGCTGTGACAGTTCTAAGTTGAGGACTAGTCAAAAGTCACTTTTTGCAGTACTGTTGAAACTTCAATCACTAATCAAAGTCGTAAGCTGAGGCCCACCTATGTATTCAAAATAAATAAATAAATTTCTGTTTAAAACTTTTTTGCTAATGATTAGGGTACCCAGTAAAATTTGTCAATCCAGAGATTTCTAACAGCTGAAAAGCAGCTAACAACCAGTTTCTGAAAGTGATTAGAAAAAGCAACATTGGAATCCAGGATCCTTAAAGATGCCAACCATGGATTGAGGAAGCTAGCTATTCCCACTTCTTCTGAGGCTCTAAACTCACTATAGACCATCTCATGGTCTTCTCATGAGGAGCATCTGAGGTGGGTTCCTACCAGTTCGCACCTATTCGGTAGAACCGGTTCGTCAAATCTACCGAACCGGTTAGAAGAGGTTCCACCAGTGGACCCGGAAA